TAGGAAGGAAACTATTACGTTTTAATTAACTGTATAATAGCTGCTGAATTAAAATTCGGTAAATAGAGAAGAAAATTTCTTCCTATGAAATGAGTCCACCTCTGACAGTGTTCTAATACTTAATTGGAACTAGTACATTATCAGTGTTGACTCCATTAAGCAGCTTCTTGAAAACAATCATTATGGTAGTTCTCGTGCACTTTTCAAAATATTTAGTATACTTCTATAGCAAGCAGAAGTGCGACTTATACAGTCATAATATGTAAATAAGCCTCAACAGCCTAAGGATAAATCAATATCTAAACATACGAAAGTTAAATCTCTTATTCAGCATATTCAGCAAAGTAAATTTTAGATAAAATTTTAAAATTATTCTGACAACTAAATTAGTCTAACAAACTCTTCTGACACTGGCACTTTTATAAAAATTACGCTTTTTTCATTTCTTTTCTTCTCTGGAATTATAATGGTCTTGAGGTAACCTTTTTGTCATGTTTATTTCACTTAATACGTTATTTCTCATGTTGAAGCTTTCCTATACTTATACCTTTTCTATCAGTTCCACCCAAAATCAGAAAAAACGAGTTTTTAACGAGCGAAAGTCTAAATTTAGAAAAGAGAGAATTTGCAGTTTCACCCAAGGTGCTATAACTCTCAGTATTTTTACCTGTCGACTGGATACTGTACTGCTATTTCAGTGAGTTCTAACATTGTGTATAATCATATTTTCAAGATCATAGAGATCATAGTTGTTTTGGAGCCAGGCTATTAAGTTGCCTCTTTATTTTATAACTATTTGAAATATTTGTCGTTTTCTTTGCTCACAAGAAAAAAAAAAAAAAAAAGTTTTACTTTTTGTTAACATTTCAGTTTGTAACTTCTAGACGGATAATAAATAAATTTTCAGTTGATTTTCGTTATATTAAATTTATACACTTGAATTCTTCTAAGGTAAGACAGAGCGGTAATTCGCCTGCAGTCTGTAGAGTTAATAGGGTTGTTTACTTAAGTGAAATTTGGTTTAAACATACGATATTTATCATTTAATTTTAAGCACGGATAATTTCGTTGTGCTACTAGGGTTGTTCTGAAGTTCATAAGTGATTTTGCAGCAACAGTAAAATTAATTTGACATAACATATTGCGCGCATTATGTACTATAATAAATAATATGTGTTATTTATTAGCAGTACTATTTTTCACGAACTTTGTGAACTGGAGCACTTGTCTAAACAGTACAGAAGATTTTGATACCCATTTCGTCAAATGCCTTTAACATTTGGCGAAATGGGCACCTTGGACGCTCAGATACCAAGTCAATGCTATTACGACACATCCATCATTCTTAAATGTGCAGTAATAAATGCGTTCTATAGTTATACTATGCACCACTGGAGAATAGGTGATTGATTGTGAACAAACCGAGGGATGATTTAAGCCCGTTACCCGGAATAACAATGCTGTGTCACTGGTTTCAAGGTACGCGTTCTCTATAGTAGTAATGAATCAAAAACGTATCTGGATCCTCCATTTTTATAGTACTAAGTAGCATTCTTCTTGCGAAACTAACAATTGGCTAAAAGAAGTCACTACGATACAGCCTTTTTTTCAAAGTTTGTACTTCCAATTCACATTTGATGTAGCATTTTTTTCCGTCAGACAGTTTGATAGAGCATAACACAAAATGCTTCTTTATTAGCAACTTGTTGCTCTTAAACTTTCCTTAATTTATGAATCTTTAATTCAGAATCTTTCAATAGCATATCGTTCATGGAATTAGGTTTTCTGGAATACGCTTTTAACAGTAATTCATAATAACCATCTTATAACCAAAGTCTTTCAAGCACCTACCATGGAATGGAATGCCGCTGTCAATTAAGAAGCTCAAGATCTAGCTATCTATGGAGGAAGCGAAACCAAGGGATGTTTAATCCTGCATTGATTTCAGGAAGATATTTTAATGGTATATTTTTGGAAAAAAGAATAATAACTGACGTAGTTATGTATTGCACAGTATTTATGAGATACCATACAATATCATTATCCTGGGTTGCGGCAAAAGGAATGCCAATTCTCCACAAAAGTCTGCCTGCAAATGGCTACTTCAGTAAAAGCAAACTCATTTTGCAACATAGAGTGATGAATACGTAAATATAGAGCTGACCAATCAGCAGATAACAAAATCGTGGATAAAAAAGTGTGTTCGACGGTCAGACAAATACTTCAGTCATCATGATTACTAAAAATATAAAATATACGTTACAGAACTACTTCACTACCAGAAGTATTTCTGAATACTTCTTCAGAGTAACGTTATCCATCTACACGGTTTACATATTCTTGCTTTGTTTCTTAAAATAAGTGACTTGTTTGGATTGAGAAGAAGAGTAACATAATACGTTGAGCTCAGAAAAAAGCAGTTGGTTTAAAAAAATAAACAGAAGTTTAGATTTACCTATATTTATGAAGAGTAATTGGGTTTACCGAAATCCATAAAGATCAAACTTCCAAAATGGAAACGTTATTTTACTTTAGTAAACGTAATTCGGCTGAAAACGTCTTTTATCATTTTGCGAAAAGGTATGAAGATAAGAGTAAGACGGAAACTGAATAAGACGAAAAGAAAAGTGGAGAGAAAGAAACAGAACTGTGAAGAGGCGGTGCAAAGAAAGAAAGCCGTCAGAAACAGGCGTATAGATGAAGAGCTCGTGGCAGGCGAAGAAAAGAGAAAATGCTTGAAGATAATGAAGATAATGAGAGCTATAAAGAGCTAACGTATAACAAAAAAAAAAAAAAAAAAAAAAAAAAAAAAAAAAAAGATTATAACTGCAATGGATTTGAAGAAGTCTAAAGAAGTGTGTGAAGAACCAAATATAAAGCTGTAAAAAGGGATGAAACACAGAAAGTTTGGAAAGAAGATACTGAAAATGAAGAATAAAATATGTGAGGAAAAAATGAGGTATGAAAGGAGATAAAAGAAAATACTGCGAAGGAAACTCGAATAGAAGCAACTGAGAAGAGGCGATAGTGTTTGAAATATAATGATGCAAAAGTCTGTATTTAAATTGTGTATAACGAATTTAAAATTATTATAACGATTAAATATGAATTATATTATCACATAAAATATAGATTGTTTGATTTTTCTGCCTTTATTCACAACATTTTTTAACTTTAGCCGTTACTTTATTCCTGTAACTGATTTCAGAGAGTCTGAAAGACTGAATGCATCAAAAAGGTGATATATATGTCAATGAATGTTAAATATTGTTAATTACTGATGTTAAGTATTACTTATATTCTAAGACTAGAAGAAAACCCTTAAATTATAAGCTCACACCAATTTGAAAATTTCAGATATATTAGAAGGGAATCTCAGCTATCAGTGGTCAGATAATATGTAAAAATTACGTATACCAAAACTTATCCTCTTCAGATATTAACGTCAGCTGAAGATAAGCGTAAATACAATTTGCTCATCTTTTTTTTAACAAAGGAATTCTGGTTCAGTACAGTTACTCGCCTGTTTCCTATTAACTAGCTCGTTGAATTTTTAGAAACTTTATTTTTTAATTAAAATAGTTTCATTAAAAGCCAGTGAACAAATAACTTGAAAATCGTTTCATAAATAGTCAGTGATCGTAAAATGAGACTGCAGAAGACATCTGTGGATGTTTTAGAAACTACGGTGAAACCTCTTTGAGATGAATATCCATCATTTCAGATAACTGTGGCCTCCTGCGAAGATGGTAAACTTTGAAAGGTGATGCTCAATATTCATGTTTTTTACATTCTTAAAAGAAATGCTGTTTTCTGTAGGTCGTTTCAGGGGGTGTCCGCCGATAACATCGCGGCAAAAACATCGTCGACGAAGACGTCGCGGAGAAAACAACGCAAGGTGAAAACGTCGTGCTACAAAACATCGTGGGAGAAAACATCGCAAAGAGAAAACATCGCAGTTCTAAAACATCGTGGTACAAAACATCGTCGTAGAAAATAAAGCGGTTCAAAAACATCGCAGTTTAAAAACATCGTCGTCGAAAATATCGTGGTAAAAATAAAGTATCTACAAATCATCGCATGACGATAACATCGCAGACATGCTTTTTTCAGGTTTTAATAATTGTAAATGTATATTCCCATAACGATTTCTGAGCGCAAGGTGTAAAGAAGGATAAATTTTACTTTCACATATTTTATTAACTAATAAATTTTTGCTGAAAACGTAAGAAGGAAACTTAAGCATAGAAAATTAAATGTAACTTATAGATTATACTTTTCATGAAATATTACCAGTAAAAACTTTATATAAATGATTTATTAATGGCCTTTGTTAGTTAACTATGTCGGTTTAAAATTCTATTAGTGCTATAAGTTGCATTAATTTTTTATGCTTAAGTTTCCTTTTTATTTTCTCAGCAAAAATTTATTAATTAATAAAAAATATGAAAGTAAAAATTATCCTTCTTTCCATCTTGCGCTCACAAATCATTATGGGAATATCCATTTACACTTATTAAAGCATGCCTGAAAAAAGCATGTCTGCGATGTTATCGTCATGCGATGATTTGTAGATACTTTATTTTTTACCACGATATTTTCGACGACGATGTTTTTAAACTGCGATGTTTTTGAACCGCTTTATTTTCGACGACGATGTTTTGTACCACGATGTTTTAGAACTGCGATGTTTTCTCCCACGATGTTTTGTAGCACGACGTTTTCGCCTTGCGTTGTTTTCTCCGCGACATTTTCGTCTGCGATGTTTTTGCCGCGATGTTTTCGGCTGTAACCGTTTCAGGGAGGTGTTTGCCATGAGAAGTTTCATTTTCGGCGTAATGTTATCTATTCGAAAATTTTTATTGCACAAGTAGAGAAGAGTAGCATTACAAAAAGCCTGTAATTTTTCGGAATTAGATTGCTTTCACAAGTATGGGAGGTAATATTAAAAAAAAATTAAGTACCAGTTCAGTCCACTGATATAAAAAAATAAGGATTACCGTTTCTATCTGTGCAGCGTTCATCACCTTTCTCCTGCTGGTCGGCCCTTACATGTTGGCGACCTCCATCTTGCATTCTGCATTTCTTTTCATACAATTCTGATTATAACATTCTGAAATGCCAATTGGTATTTTGATAATGGAATGGAGTCTGCTTATATTTCGTTATTCATGGATACATTTTTTTATTCTATCCATCGAGGATCCTGTTGGATGCGTGTATAAATATTTCATTTATTTAGATTTGTCATTGTATTTTTATTCTGTTGTATGCCATGAGGTACATCATAATTTTCGAAATTTTGTCTTGATTGCTCCACAGTCAGGAAATATCTGATATCTTCTGGTGTGATTGGCTACCTGGTTTTATAACGTTCTTCTTTTGCGAGTTGACAGTTAAATATATAATGCTAGGAGTCGCTCCTTTCCCCACATATGCAAATATCTGTTTTGCTTAAATTTCGAGCAAAATAGTATGTGGAAAAAAGATAATGCCCTGTTGTGAATACATTTATTAAGAAATTTCATTAAGATCTGGGGAGTTATACATTTTATATACTCTTCTTCCTTCTTCTGCTTCATTTCATTCATTTTTCCAGATGTCAAGTGTTCTTTTTCTTAAGTAGCTCGGGCCGCTTCTTTGGCAGCAATATCTGGTTTTTCATTGCTTCAGAGCCTGACAAAGGAGAAAAATGCGGTCAGAATTCGCCCAAATTCTGAAATTTATCTTTTTAGTAGTTAGGTGTTTCATACTGCTCTGTGCGCTTCGGTTGATAGTCAATAACCTGACTTTAGAGTAAATGTATAGTATACACTTGGGGTACAGTGAAGAAATAAGCAAAACAATAATACGTTTTTCAACAGTTAAGTATACCGAATTGAATAAAAGTATCAGATTGAGAATCATAAAATAATACAGTTTGCGCTCCAAAGAACAAAATAACTAGGTCACATTTTATTTTCATGCAGCAAGTATAAGAAACTATTAAGCAGTCATTCACTTTGTAAAATGTAAATAATTTAATAACTTTCTTTCAAAGTGAAAATTGCAAATTTGGTGAAAAATTATGAAAGGTTGTTCGAAATAAACAGCAAAACGTTTTTCAGCAGTTAGAAGGTTAAAAATTGTATCAATACGCTTGAAATATGCAAACAATTTAAATAATTACGCTCATTTAGAAACGCAAGACATAAAAAAAATAATGCTGCAGAATAATTGGTGTAAGTAGGCAGTTTAAAACATGTTTATACAATTAAACTGTATTTGCTAAAGCAGAGTTTTGGTGACTTTGAAATGCTGCGAAATTTTGTCAGAAAGTTCGTGTTTCAAGATTAAAATCTCCATATTTAATAATTTTTAGTGGATTATCTATAAATATTTAACAATTAATTTTAACTGATACCCTTTATTTAATATACAAAATCATTTGTATTTTTTGACTCCAAATCAAGCCGGAATACAAGTTTAACAAGCGTTTCATATAACTTAAAAACTCAAAACATCGCTTAGCCGTGAAAACTTCAAAGCCGAAACAATTGCTTAGCCTAGAACGTGTAGGCAAAAAAATCGGTAGCTATCTACATTGGAATGGATGTGTTTGAATTACACATTTGGAGAACGGATGATAAATACTCTGTGTAGAAAGTCCTTCAGTCCGCCAATAATCTAAATCTAAAATAATGAATTCGTCTTTAGAGATCGAATGTTAGTAGTTGAATTAAGATGACCATCTATAGAATGATCTTGATCAACCTTTATATAATCATGTTTCAATATCCACTGATTTAGTATGTGAGGTTCACAGTGGTTGAGATGATAATGAGGAGTTACTGTAAGTTTCGTAAGTTCAAAATCTGGAATACAAATGAAGTGACAATAGTCCGTAATATACCTGAAATGTAGCAAATGTTATGTCCAAATACTGTCTTCTCACACATATGCCCGTTCGTTTCAATCCAGTGTAATTAAATACGGGGAATGGATTGGTTTTTACTGAGCCTTATATGTACTCTTAGGTTATTCTTAGGTTAGAAATCCTTCCGAGTTTCTACACTAGCTTGATGATCATGAACAGGCCAGTCAGATTTCCGCTCTTGGTGGTCAGATAACATGTTATTTATTTTAACTTCTATCCAAAATTTCTTCTTTTTAAACTCGAATCTACTCTTATTTCTAGTATTCACCCTATTTTTATTACTGAAGTATAGTCACAATTTCTCTGTTATTAATGTTCCTACCGTAAAAAGGGGTGCTTATTTATTTCTAGCATTCATTCTATTTTTATTACTAACATATAGTTCAGAGCTTAATTTCTAAAATTAGATGTGCCGGAGCCTTATGGTAGATTATCAATAAAGAGGAACAAGAATAAATAAATAAAAAAAAACTAAAATAACAAAATCTGAAAGCTTTCAAATTTTATATTACGCCCAAAGAGGCATTTTTTTCAGGAGAAATTCAAAACGGGGTTTAAAAAGTGATACAGATATTCCAAGTCATTCGACGAAAAAAAAAAAAAAAAAAACCCTTTAGACGTTGTAACGTCTTTGCGTTGCTATGCTAACCACATAATACTAGAAAGAAATATAAAGAAACCTCGCGCATAAAATATCCGTGCTTAAAGATGCACGCGATGTTAATGTTAATGGAACTCTTTGAAATCGTTGAATTTATTGATAAAAAACGCATAAAAGTTTTACAAAATATGAAATAGATAATAAAACAAATTCCAGATGTCGATATTCGAGTGGAGGACTACGTTATTCAAAATTTGATGTCTCTAGGTACCGTTCTTTTCACAATGCGAGAAACATACATACATTCATGCAGATTATTTATGATTTAATTTCTTTAAGTATAATGCAGGGCCCTAATATTTGGTAGCAACAATTTGAAAAGTGATTCTGACTTTTATAGTGAAACAACGCAAAATGTCAAAACGAAATGAATAGCCTATTTGGGCTAAAAATGACTAATGTAATAAAATCGTAAATGACTGAAAAAATTAAATAATTATTGATTAGATTAATTAAATAATTAAAATAAAAATTTCATAAAGTGCAAAGAGATCAAATTTAATAAGTTATTAAATAAACGGTAAATAAGAAAATAAAGTACTGGATCTTGACGTATTTGGGGTTCCAGCTGGAATTATAATTTAGCACGAAAACTAAGAAATAGCTCAAATGGGCTGCGGGTTGAATTTAAGCTTTGAATATGATGGGGGCATGAAAGAAATAAAGGCTTTTCTTTTTTCAGCACACCATGAACAACGTTCAAATAGTTAAAGCGTCACTAATGAGACTAGAGAGAATGCTATAAACAGTAATAGAATATACAGAAAATTTAAGGATGTCGTATAGATATGGAAACAAAAGAGAAGATTCCAGCATTTTCTAACCACGATCTCTCCTGTCAATATAATTCTGGCTGTCAAGCGAAATGAGACAGGGGAGCAAATTTTTCTATATCCGAGGTTTAGCTGCGAATAAATCAGAATTTTCATCCCCCGTCTTGCGTTATATGATCTGTAGGTTCTCTTTCCCCCTGGAAGACACTAGTGTTGGAAGGAAGAATTTACCCTCGGTCATAAAGCCATTGTACTTTTCTGGAGAATAATCTTCTGACGTGTGGGTTGGGGGCTCTTCGTTTTTTAGAAATCTCGACCTCCGTTCAAGGATTTGTTTACCAAGGAAAAAGATGCATGCCTTCATAAGGCAGAATCGAATTTTTAATATAATTTTATTACTAAAAATAAAATTTCTTCTGAAATTGTTGTTTTAGATTTAAAAAAAAAGTGTCGGAGCTTTCTTATTTAGAGCTCCGGTGCGCTCCGCCTAGAATTATGATTTATTCTAAAAACAAAGAAGCATTGGAGCCGGGCTCCGGTGGGCTCAGGCGCAATCTAAGTTTTGGTATAGTCACAACTACCCTGTTATTAAAGTTCTTATGTAATGTCAAAAAGGGTACTTACGTATTAACGCAACCATATTAGTACAATTCGCGAAAATTTGCGAATGTGCTAAACTTTGGCAACCATGCGCATAACCATTTTTGACAATCCTTCAGTCGAACAACGCCGTCATTTTCGTTAGCGTTCTTTTTTGTTATTATCCAAGTTCCAACGGTTTTTTTATAAAAAAATCGCAATATTTCTTGCTTTAAACTTTGTTTTAAAATATGAGCTTGTGAAATTTGCTAGCAATGGAAGAGACTGCGGTAAAATTTATGAAAGAATACAGAATTTTGCTGAAAGTGTTCTAAAAGGAACAAAGAAGGTTGTCCCTGCCCAAAGCTGAGTTTCCGTAATTCTCTGATGTTTTCTGAAGCGAAAATAGATCGCTGTGTACTTCAGCAGAAAAACAGCGCAAAAAATTGTAGGAAGATTTGAAGAAGAATGTAAGTGACATATTCTTTTTAAGGTATCAAGTAATCTTCATTTAATAATTCAAATTCGTGTTTTGAATAACTAAAGTATGTTTTCTCTTCATATGTTGATAATGTTTGCCGACAAATATCGACAGTTCGGGAATCTTTCTCAAAATAGGCGCAAAACTACCCATTTGAACACGATAAGTAACTTTTACCTTTTCATCTGCAAAAAATCGCCAAATTTCGCTTTGGCGGTTGCATTAATACGTAAATACCCTCTCCCTCCCCACAAAAAAAGGTCCTCAAATTTAATGTTACGAGTGCCTGAAAACTACTGGCTAGTTCTATCAACAGAAATGATAATTATTTACTTAAACTATCCTTTTAAACAGTGTATTATATTGTACAATTCAAGAAGGGCATTTCTTTCTTTTTCAATGGTCTTTTGAAAATTCAATTAAAATATTGAATCTTTTACATTCACAGATACCAGAGAGGATTTACAATATATTTTACAATATTTAAGGGTGTAGTATCTGTATGAAATGCGTTGTCGCATAATTTATCGATTAAACTTACACCACAATTAATGTATATTACATAAATATCCTGTTTTATATAAGATTCACCCTTTAATTTGAAAATTATCCAATTGTTTTCAAACTAAAAAGTTAAATTTACGTGAAAATTTAGATACACAATAA